TTTAATTGGCCTCTGTGCTGTTAAGTTGTACGTAAATAAACATGAATTGAATTGAATTCAATTAGGATGTTGACCTGCCACACGAATAAATAAGAATTAAATGGGTTATTATTATTATTATTAACTTCTATGTGTGTATGTATGTTTATTGTCCTTTCTCACCACATAATGGAATAACCATTGGAAATGTACTTTTTTTATTTTTCTAGCCTGTTAAAGCTAACTTATTTTCGTTTCTCTTGGAATTGTTACTAATTTATTGCTATTTTATAGACTGTCATATTTTGTATTTAATTTTTTGTATATTTCTATGTACTCGTGCTAACTTTGTAATTGGCCACTGTGCTGTTAAGTTTGCACATAAATAAACACGAATTGAATTAAATTAAATTAATATTATTATTGCAATGGCGGCTCCTTTAGAAGGGCTCCGCTTCATTAGTGAGTAAGTAAGTATTATCATCATTTGTTTGTTTGTTTGTTTACTTGGCTGCATTATTGATTTATGTTAATGAAATTATTATTATTGTTGTTGTTGTTTGTTTGTTTACTTGTCTGCAGTATTGTGTTTTCCTCCAATGTTTGCCTGTAATTTGTCTTTGACTTTACGTTGTGTTTATCCATATTGTAATTACTTGTATCTACACTGTGCTCTGCCTGTAATTGGCCTTGCGGCTGTTGACTCGGCACATAGATAATAAAGAATTTAATTTAATTGAATTATTGTTGTAGTAGCAGTGCACTTCATGTTATTCGTAGTAATAGCATTTTTTGGGAAGAATTTATTACGCAAGTAGAGATTAATAATATACTATAAATTAACTTCAGGGATTATGCCTTATTAGTTACTGCAGGCCACACGTACTCAACAATCAAATCATAACGTCATAACTTCAAATACTGATAAACGTACCCAGTAACTTAAGTTTTTACGAAACTCTTTTAAATTCAATTTTCTTGTCACGAAATTGACAGCAAGTGACGGCAGAAACACTACTGTTGGGAGATCCTTCTGTCGCTATACTTAGTACTACCTTCAGCCGTCACATGCAGTGCATTGTCGGCTCACTGTGTTACCATATTCTCACGCAGCATCGGTGTAATTATGTTGTAAAGGTAAACATTTAAAGTTGTCCCTGTTCTTAACTAATTAAGCACTACACCATGAAGTGTATGGGGGGAGTGGCTTTGTAGATCCACGTCTTCTTGACCTCGACACTAGTTGGAATTGAATGGTCAGTTTCACGCCGTGGCCACTTTACCCCGGAGAAAGAGCCCCCGGTACCCGTTGAATAGGAGGCTGGGTGGGCCACAGAGCCAGTCTGCACGACGTGGAGAAGATAAATTTCTTGACCCCACCGGAACTCAAACTCTGACTTCTTGGTCGTCCGGCCCGTAGCCAGTCGCTATACCGACTGAGCTATCCTGGCTCCTCGTAATTGTGTTGTACAGAGATAAGTACAAATTGGAAGTAGGAATGTGCAATATTGTGTTCAGATACGTGGCCCACCCAGAAAATGCGAACGGTACACGTTCTGGGTATGTTAACATAACAGACATGGAAAGCGAACGAAACTTTGAAGAGTTCAACTTAATGAGGATCTTTAATAGTGGAAACTGCATGACTACTCAGAAGAGGATCTCAAAATTCTAACTTCTTAATTTATAATCCTCGTTAGCATCAATATATCGTTTGAATTTTTTTTTCAAGAGACGTAGGCTTAAGTTCTTCCCAGAACTTTCCTTTTTAAGAAGTAATCAGATCCTCTTATCTTTGTGTCCAATTTCAAAACTTCTCAAACAGTTTAACCTCATCACTTTCCCGGCTGGGTTTATATCCCGGAGCAAGTTTCCCTCATCAAAGGTGTTCGATTGCGCGAGCCGTCCTCATCTGAATTGCATATTCTATTCATTACTTTGCTGGTGACGTAAGAACTCGAGATTAAACTTCTACAGCTTATCATTTTGAGAGGTACGTCTGACTGGTCGGAGGATTAGCATAGAGCCATGAATTTGTGCTAAAGAGTGTCAGTTTGTGTTACAAGATGGGGCAGGGATCGCTTTCATCTCCTACAATCCAGTTAACTGTAAAGCGGTGCAGCAGAATTGTCTCTGTGAAATAGGTTCCAAACTGAAATTGAAGCAATAAATCTATTGTCAGTTAAGCAGTCTATTATACCTCTTCTTCTTGCGTTTCTTAATTTTTTCTTCAAATTCTTGATTTTATTTTTTCTTGTGTATCTCTTGTTTATTTCATTCTCTTCAATTTCTTTAAATTCTTTGTCGTATTCCTCTTTTATTTTTTCTGCCTCTTTATCTTCTTGTATTTCTCTCATTTCATACACTTGGTGTTTTTTTTACGTGTAGCTTGTTCCTTTTCTTTGGTTACCTTTTCTACAGCTTACCTAATCTACCGCCATTATGTTGACCATGTTGATACCACAGACCTCTTCTTCTGGCTGAATTGATACATGCGAACTTCTGAAATCCCTTCTGCTTCTCTTCTTCTTCTTATAATCCTTATTATGGTGTTATATTTTCTTTACAGTGCAGTCCCAATTTCTGTGAGTATAATCGTTAACGGTTTTCTGAATCATGAGATAATTAAGAAACAAGCAAATGCATTCGTCTTCTGCCCTCAAGATGGAGGCGATATAAACGAATTATCTTTCTCTGCATGTAATTTAATTTGTTTTAGATTATTACTGTATTCATTCTTCTGCCTCTTTAGTGCACGGTAAGGCGCGTCCACATTACTCGTGCTTGTGCTCGCCAGGCTTGTGCTCATCGGAAGACTCGTCTGGCTATTACTTGTGCTCGTAAATCTTCGTCTACAATACTTCAGTTGCTCGCCAGGCTTCGACGCGTGAGGATCCATATATTTACTCGTAGTGTGTATAGGCTGTAGTCGTATTTTAATTTATTGGCTATAGTTTTTAAATTAAAAATTTAAAATTTGCTTGTCTCGTGACTTGTCATATCGTCCACATTACTCGCGAGCATAGCGAGTCACACGACCACGAGTAATGTGGACGCGCTTTTATTGAGCCCTCTGTATCTTTAGGCTGCGAACCGAGCCCAGTAAACTCGAATCAAGTGTGACTCGCAAGATGGCTGCATGAGTCGAATCGAGTCGAGTCAAGTCGTGTGAAGCTGAAGGCCTGTTTTGCAGTATCTGGTTTAGATTTACTAGGATCGATTTGGTTAATTTACCCAGTCTTAACCCAACTGCAAAGTGTCCCGTCACATTCGGGTACCTTCCTATTTCATGCCTAAATATTCACATGTTTTCGTTCCGTCTCGGGCATTTGAATTATATGACTTTTCGAGCACAACTTCAAGAGTTACGGCCGGTGAGGGAATTTTTTTGTTTGTAATTTTTGTTATAATTTAGTTACTGAATATTTAGAACTGCCGGCTTAACAGTTCGTGTGTCTGTTTGCAATACTTTGTGGCATTTACAGTAAGAGTGATTGCAAATTTATCGAGTACAAAGCTAAAGCGATGCAGTTTTCTTCGAAACTGGTCTCTCTGACGGAATTATCAAAAAATGTATTTAACGGGTTCATATGACGAATAATTCAGTAAGCACATTTCGAATGTGTACAGTTTTGGGACATGTTCGTCTCTCAAAAACCGACGAAGAATGTGAAAATTCTCAAGATAACGTTCAGCAATCAGATGACCATTTCTTCGTTCAGTGTGTCGCGAAATATGCACAAAACGGCTGTAAAATTGAAATATAAACAAATAAGTGGTNCATTCAACTGCTCTGAAGATGGAGGCGCTACGTTCCTCCGAAACGTCGGCCAAAACGAAGAATACACGGTGCCTAAACCCAGGAGACGACTTTCTTCATTGTCATCGCCGTGAAAACCTCAAAACTTACAAATAAGTGGTCCTTGGAAAACTAAGAATATCCGTGGACAACAAGACTTTAACCACGTCAAAGTCTCCGCAATCTTTGTCAGTTTTGTGAATGGAAAAGGTGGAAAGAAATGTTCGTTATTTGTCAGTAGTATTGCTTCTGTAATCGTTGCACAACAGTTTCCTTTTAATGTACCTAGCTTTCTGGAAGTTACTAAGTGGCACTTTCAGATTTTCGGAGAACGCTCTAAATGGGTCATGTTAAACCGGCGTACGAAGCGAGGACGCCCGAAATAGCACTGACCCCTCATACACGGTCTTCGCAGATCTTCTGCTCCTTTCTATGGGCCTGTTGACCTACCAGCATCTCTCAGACATAATGTGGACGCTACTCACCTCTTCCTGTTGGCATTGCTTGATCCTACCTTTAGGGAAATTCGCACAGTCACAACAGGTTTCTGTAGTACTAATGATCTATTTACGTTGCTCCGTCTACATATAGGTTTAACAAGTCTTCTCGATCATTTACGTTTTCCGACCAACATTTTATATTATATCACTTATACATATCTCATATATGTCCACCCCTACCCTCATCCTCATGTATATTGTCACCCTAATAATATTACGTGAAGAATAACTACTATTAAGAGCCAATTATGTAATTTCATCTATAGGATGTCCGTTTTTTATTGCTAGTGGGGTGGGACCAAGTTCCTTGTACTGCGGCCACTTCTGGCTTATTGTACCAGCCCCAGATGATAGGTGAGGGTGGTTGTGGAGCAATTGGTGGAATGAAGCCTGGCAGGGGAAACCGAAGTACTCGGAGAAAACCTGCCCCAGCGCTAGTTTGTCCACCACAAATCCCACTTAATCAGACCCGGGATCGAACCCGGTCGCCGCGGTGGGAAGCCAGCGACTAACCGCTTGAGCTATGGCGCAGCCCTATGTGAAAAGTAACTACTATTAAGAAGCCAATTATGTAATTTCATCTACAGGATGTTCCATAAGACTTTGAGCGGATTGTTGCTTCATGCAACATTGTCACACCACAGGCAGTTCACGCAAGTATGTTAGTGCGTTTGCATCGGCGGGCCTGTGACTATAGTGAGATTTTCTTTTTTATGTTTCAGAAAGCCTCCGGGAGTACTTTAGTAAATACGGAGAGATTACGGAAGTGATGGTGATGAAGGACCCCACCACCAGAAGGTCAAGGTGAGTAAGTGATGGTTGTCCTTACATGGGGCGTCCGTGTACAGCCATATTGCTATCTGGTTCGGCAAGCAAGAGATGCCTGTCTCTTACTATGAGGCAAGAACACCCTTAGCCTGGGTCTGAAAGCAAAGTACACCTATTCAGGAAAATGTTCGGCCTGAGGGGGGTTGAAGAAAGTGAGGAATGGAAGACATTACGCACCGAGCACCGCTGTAATACAGCTCATCTTGCACAGTAGTGGTCGCGGAACCAAGGTACTTAACCATTTTAAGCCTGAAATTAATCTAAATAATATTTACAATTTTAATTGCTACCTCACAGATAATACTGCGTCTCTGTTATAAAGAACAGCAGTGCTTAAAGATATACTATTGAAACTACTAGTACTGCTACTTATTGTCTCCTGAGTTATAGTTCGATAGTGGTTACCAAATTTTCTGACGAATATAGTGTGACTATCCTGCCCCGAAAATGAAGGCACTATAGGCCTATTTCTTCCGAACCATTATTACGAGCCTACCAGAATAAATAAGGTCATAACCCAGAAAATGTGTCTTCACTACAGTGAAAAAAAATGAAATCTCATATAAAAGATTATTAATTTTTACAAGTATTCAGGGATTGAGAAGTTATGGCAAAGAAACTATGTCATTTACTTCCTTTCTCCCTCAATGAAATAAAATTATGTTACAATTGTTTATTTTCACATGTTTTCTTGTATTATATGAAGATGTATTAATTACAGATATAACAGATTATTCAGTTAAATACACATTTGTTTTGCAGGATGAATATAGATTAGAGATTTTTAATATCCCTCACGTAAAATTAATTTTCTCACCACTATCATCTCAGATGTGTTTCCAACTTACTACTGTATTGTAAGTTACGAGTTGGCAGTTCGCGTAGTATACAGCAGCTGTGTAGATCTGGCCTAGAATTCTACACTATTGTATCTGTAACACAGACGGTATATTCCTGTGCCCTAGAATATAGGCGAATTGACCGTTCTGAGCAGTGAATATGACTGCAACACAGCTACGTAAGTGCGGGACTTTAGTGCTCAGAAACATATTTGACATAAGAAAAATAAAGAGGTAGTGAACCAGAGAGAATTACGCATCGAGGAGCTTCATAATTTGTACTCTTCACCTAGAATAATTAGATTGATGAGATTAACCCTTTAAAGCTCAATGGTTACAATACGTACCACCCCCTTTAACACCATAACATTCTGCGTTCTGCCCACCCAATTTATTTATGGTTCTTACAATAAACATTGNAATTGACCGTTCTGAGCAGTGAATATGACTGCAACACAGCTACGTAAGTGCGGGACTTTAGTGCTCAGAAACATATTTGACATAAGAAAAATAAAGAGGTAGTGAACCAGAGAGAATTACGCATCGAGGAGCTTCATAATTTGTACTCTTCACCTAGAATAATTAGATTGATGAGATTAACCCTTTAAAGCTCAATGGTTACAATACGTACCACCCCCTTTAACACCATAACATTCTGCGTTCTGCCCACCCAATTTATTTATGGTTCTTACAATAAACATAACAATTTGCAGGGGAAGACTGAAGTACCCAGCCATACATTTGCCGTCACAAATCTCACGTAGACTGTCCTGTGGTCGAACCCCGGCCTCTACGGCGAGAATCCGGCCGTTAACAGCTTGTATCATGGCTTCTAACTCAGCCTACTCTCCAGTCCTGATGATGGTTATAATACGTTCCTCGTAAACGTCGGTAGACTTCTACCAGACTACACGACGTCATATCTCACATGATAGTAATCGTCACAAACAAAGACGTTTCTCATTATGTAATTTCTTCCACCTTTCATTCCCATTAATTTCAAATCTGCTCTATAGAAGGAACCTAGTGCGCCCTCAACCCATTTTCTTCTGTTAGACTGAGATGTCGTTTGTAACATCCACGGGACCTACAATTATACTCTGTTTTATAGGAATTATAGGGAGTTAGAGAATCATTACCCGGATACCGGAACAGTTCCACGGGTATTCTCAATTAAGTATGAAGAACTTTATTGCCAGATTAACATGGTCCTTGTGGTAAGTGAAGTGTTTCTAAAGAAAATTTGAATTTAAAGTATGACGAGTTATGGTTGTAGACGGACACGCCAGTATCTGTAAGATTGTTCCCTAGGTGCCGATCCCTTCATTTCCTGTGTCTGCCTCTTGTCTGGGATCTTGGGAGATTTCTTCCTTTATTTGAATGCGGTAGGAATGAATGCCTCGCCCACTCCGTTCCATGCAGTCGAGGCGGTTCGTACTGCCGCTGTAGTTTAAGTGGCAATCAGAGAGTTTAATAGGTTCATAGCTTTTCCAGATAATAGTTACAGTGGATGGATGAAGTTCCATTTACCCTGTCCGGAAGGCAGGATTGTTATGCTGCACATTATAATCTCTTTATGCTTGTATTTCATTAATCATTCATCGTATCGAGAAATGTGGAAAATGAAAGCTTTTGGCCTTCTTATACCAACAATTCATCATATATAATTTTATAGACGTTATGTCGTTTGTGAGAAAATCATTGAACTCCAGACTCCGTTTCATGTAAAGAAGAAGTCTTGCTTTACTGGAAATTTTCCGAATTTTTTTTGCTTAGACCCTTCTTGCAAGATTTCATCGAAATCCTCTCAGTTATCTCGAAAATACGAAAGCGGGTCGGAAGGTTTTTTCGGAAATATATTTGTCGCAGACCATACATAAATTCCTATGCTGCACATTCAGCATTTGATTCGACACTTAGTTCGCTTTCCCACGCGATCATTCTGTACATAAAGACGATATTTCACTGCCATACCAATTTATTGATGTCACCTTAGAAGAACTGTGTTTCTGTGATTTGAAGTTATGCCTTTTATTGCTTCCACGACCTCAAATTATAGTTAGAATCGACTGCCAATAAGGATTTTTATTTATATGGCCCAAACAGATTGTAGTCACTTGGGACCAGATCACAACTATACGGTGGATGGTGCTGAACCCCCCAACGAAACTTCTGCATGTAGTTCACTGTTTTTGAAAGTAACTCTCCGATGCTCCCGCGTGTAACATGCAGACATGGCACAACCTGCGCTTTATGTGCTCCATGTGGTTCTGGGGCTCTCGAAGGGGGCAACAATCCCTTACAATGAGATGTACCTGAGTGAGGGTTCGCAATCACCTAACACCTGCACAGAGGTGGCGCCGTCACCGCGCGATGCTAATCACCAAAGGATATTAGAACTCTATGGTTCACTGATCAGTAAGACTGCTCTAATAGATAACGCCTCGTCAGGTGGGCGGCTATGTTTATACTGAAGAAGAGGTGAAGGCATTGGCCCTAAAATGAAGCACCAGATTGCGGCATATTGTGAACAACCGACGTATTTATGGCTCGGTATGTTTGTTGATTTCGTGGCACATACCTTGTATAGCTTGACTGATTCTTAAGCCATGTAGATTTCTTTTTTAGTTCATGTGGTGGGCTGAGACTGAGTCTGCTTGGTACGTCGGCCACTAATTGGCCTATTGTACCAGCCCCGGATGATATATGAATGTGGAGCAGTCAGTGGAATTAGAATTGGCAGGGGAAACCGAAGTACTCGGAGAAAACCTGCCCAGTGCCACGTTGTTTACCATAGATCCCACATGACCTGACCTGGGCTCGTAACCCGGCCTCTGCGGTGGGAGGCCGGCGACCAAACACTTGAGCTGTGGCATGGCCATTAGAGCATGTAACGAATCCGTGTTGGGCTACGTAACATCGACTGAGGCGAGAGGAAGACCGTAAGCGGAGAGATTTATTATTCTTTATCGCTACTGGGGTGGGACTAAGTCCGTTGTACTGCGGCCACTTCTGGCCTATTGTACCAGCCCCAGATGATAGGTGAGGGTTATTGTGGAGCAATTGGTGGAATGAAGATTGGCAGGGGAAACCGAAGTACTCGGAGGAAACCTGCCCTAACGCCACTTTATCCACCACAAATCCCACACTACCAGACCCGGGATCGAACCCTGGCCTCCGCGGTGAGAAGCCAGCGACTAACCGCTTGAGCTATGGCGCGGCAATGCGGAGAGTAAGTAAGAATTCTGAAGGAAAATGTCGTGGTCTATTTGAAAGTGTTATCCTGACATTTGCTTCGGAGGCTACAGGAAATCGCAATGACCCTTAATAAGGACGACGGGTAACACGGCCCGAGTTGCAAACCGCGTACCTTTCGATCGCAGTGTTACATCATCATGGTGGGTGTATTTTTGACCAACGGATGGGTTGGTGGTCTAGGAAGATGAATGGAAAGGAGTGACCGAAGGCTATTTTGATGTAGTATCAGCATTTGCCTGGCCGGTCATGGTAACCAATCTGTCTAAGGCATGCACTGTCTTCGCTCTCTCGGAAGCCGGGATCGTGGGTTCGAATCCCACTGAGGGAATGGATGCTCAGCGTTTGTGTGTGTGTTTCTCTGTGTTTGTGTACATGTAGAGGCCTTGCGATGATCTGATCACCCGCCCAAGGAGTCCTACCGAATGTCTAAGATCTAGTAAACCGAAGTGAAACGGAGAGTTTCATGGAGGTAGGCCAAGGCCCTAATTGAAGCTGTATCACCAAAGGAATAAACCAGCATTTGCCTGAGAGACTGAGACAGACTCAGTCACCATAACCGATCTCCGGGGCGAGAATGAAAGTCGAAACCTCCCGACATATAAATCCGCAGTTGCGAGGACCGGAATGCTGGACCTTCAGTTAGAGTAAGCGTGTGAGGACTTGGGATTTGAATGTCGTCCACGCTCCCACAAGATGGAGGATATAGGGATTTTCCTCAGTACTTCCAGGATATACCTGGATTAAGTCTACATGTAAATAAAATATCCAGTACAGTGAGTGGGATATGGGCTGGACGACTGTTGGATCAGTTTTTGTTTTTGCGACAAGATCGGAGATTGGTTCCGTTTCAACAGCTTCTAGACCTTTCCGTGGAGTCCA